TTTTTTAATTTAATTTAAGTTTAATAATTAAATAATTTATTTTTGGTTTAATAATATATCATTTTATAAAGATAATAATTAATTATTTTGTTAGAACTCAATAATTATCCTAATTATATTTTAGATTTTTTTTATTTAAAATGAGATGTTTATCCTGTATTTGATTGTGTTTATCTGCAGTTAGTTACACGAATTCAGTTATAGGATGAAATCGGATAGGGATGAAATTGTTTATGGATGAACGGGTTTAAGAGTTTTAAGAGTTTAAGAGTTTTAACCAAATGCTTTATAATATAGTATAGATATATATAATATATTAATATTGAGTCATTTATATTATATTTATAAATTAATGAAAGTAATGGTTTATTTGATGTTAAAAATATATTTTGGGTTTCAATTAGCACTATATTATAAAATATCTACCTCTCTTCTAATAATTTACAAACAAAAGTCATAACATTCATGTTTTTATATTGTTTTTATATGTAATGTCTCCAAATTGTTAATAATCTATTCATTGCAACTCAAATTTCTCCCAAAATCTCATGGAGCTTAGCATCTCTTACATTAACATCTTGTCTAAATACATTTATCGACAACACAAATTCATTTCAATTTCACATCTTTTATCCCTCCTTAAACTAGAATCATGACTTCGTCCTGTCCAAAGCTTATTTCTAGATCGGACTTTAAACTTGAGTTTTTTTTTTACATATCCATACTAATATCTAATATTGATATAATGTTAGGTGTAATTTTTTTTTTCACTTTATAAGACTTAAAACTTAAGTCACATTTATGTTTTTCATAATAAAATACTTTATTTTCTAATAGTTATATATGATTTGGAACAGAAGTTTGATTGACACTTAAGAATGTTTTGTTGACAAATTATCTATTAGGAGTTATGAGGTGGTTCACACTTTACAAAGCCCAAAGGCTCCCTTCTCCGGCGTATCCACCATTTGCATATTCTTTCCTTTTTCTTTATTGTCCTTTTTTCATCATATCAGAATGACCCACCACTACAAAACCCTGATTTCATACCCTCACAAAAAGTGATTTCTGTCTGATTTCCAGAGATTCAATTAATTCATTTCCCCATCTTAAATTCACTCTGCAAGTCTTTAACTCGTCTCTGCCCATTTTGCATTCACCTTCACTCCCTTCTTTCTCTTGCAAATGCACATTCTTCTGGATCGTTGTTCTTACAAACCCAACTCATTTTTACCTTTCAAAAGGGTTTCTTGAAGCATTTTTATTTAGGTTTCTAGTTATTTCTTGGATTCTATCTCGGTTTTCTGGATTAAGTGGTTGATTTCACCAAATGGGTTCCTTTTTGAGCTAGTTTCTGAGAGAAGTTACAAAATTTTGGTTCAAAGGCCACTTTATCTTGAATTTCTGACAAGTTTTAGGGTAAAGTTTGCTGCATTTGAAGAATGGGGATAGCAAGTTCAAAGGCAGAGAGATGTGAAGCTTTGCGTTTATGCAAAGAGCGAAAGAAATTCATCAAGAAAGCAATTGATTCAAGGTATGATTTTGCAGCAGCCCATCTTGCTTATATTCGATCGCTTCGAAATATTGGAATGGCCCTGCGTAGATTTGCAGAGGCTGAAGTGTTGTTAGATACATCTTCAGCCACAGAAATCGACAAAACCCCAACACATTCATCACCATCTCCGCCACACCTCGGCGGTGGTGGTGGTGGTGGCGCCGCCGCCGCTTCAGATGGTAGTCCCCATCAGACTCATGTTTCAAGATTAAGTTACATGAGGTCTGTTGGGACTAATGCAGTCACCGTTAGCCTTAATCCTTCCAAGATTGATATTAGCACTAGGGTTTATGTGGATGATGTTGATTCTATGTCCTTTTCGATGCCGCCACCTCCTCCGCCACCGCCGGAATCATCATCTTCTTGGGATTACTTCGATCCTGCTGATGATAATGAGAGCTTTAGATTTGTGGGTCATGATGGATTTCATGTGAACTTCAATGATATGAGTGTTCGCAAACAATTTACTGTTAAAGATTCTAATATCAATGGAGGATCTACAACACCTCCTGAATCTGCAAAAAAGGATCAACATAATGACGATGTTAATGTTAATTCGGTTGCTTTGAATATTGAATCAACAGAAGAATTCAATAATGTAAGTGATTCAGCTGCTGGAGCTTTGATCTGTAGAACTTCTGAGTCGGTTTTGAAGGAGGAAAGTTGTTTGGGTGAGGGAGAAACGGAGGATCCTTCGGAGTTTATAACACATAGGGCTAAAGATTTTCTTTCTAGCATCAAAGAAATCGAAAGTCGATTCTTTCGGGCATCTGAATCAGGGAAAGAAGTTTCTAGAATGCTCGAGGTAAACAAGATCCGGGTCGGCTACTCTCAGACTAAAGGTATACAATTCGAATTGGTTTTTGTTTGTTTTCTTCAAATTCATGTGCTTATAAATGTCATCCGTTAGGTACAAATCTTTATAATCATCTGATGCAGGTACCTCGCCCTCATCAACTTTGTTGTGTGTGAATTGTTGTAACGGAAAAACCACACTCGTTTCGCATGGTAAGTATTGTAGCTTTTGCTCGTCATTTGGTGTATTCTTGTTAGGGTATAAACCAAACTAAACGAGCCCTGTATATCCGACCTGACTTGGAGAACCGTGGGTTCTGGTGGGGAGGGTAAGATGTAGACTGACCTGACTTTTACCTTATAGAGTAGAGCGGATGTTTCCGTAAAGACCTCTATTTGTGAAAAATGTGAGAAAGAGAAAAAAGCAAATAAGCTTAAATTTTGAAAAGCGGCAATAGTTGACATAGTTGGGGTCTAAACCCACTCACGCGTTGAGATGAAGAGCCCTTAGAACGAACCCCCGATTGACTTAACGCCATATGTGTAAAAGCAAGAATTCAATAATGTCAACAAACTCCTAAGGGGGTCTCCTTGGTGATATAATATGTGACAATTGGGTGGGATATACTGGGCTAGTTTGGTCTGGTCTGGTTTGGTTTGAATAATATGCGGAAATTTAGGGTTTTTGCAAAAACTTCGGCGTCCGTTTATCAATTTTGTGTTTCCCTTTGTAGAACCTCCACATGTAACGAAAGTTATAACATGGAAACGGTCAACATCATCACATTCATCGTCATCACAAAACCCTCTAGCATCAAGGTCGAAAGATGATAATGATGATAGTGGTAGCGATTTCATAGAGGAGTTTTGCATGATTGCGGGAAGCCACTCTTCAACTCTTGATAGACTTTATGCATGGGAACGGAAGCTCTATGATGAAGTGAAGGTAGTCCCTTAAAGTCGTTTTCTTAGTTACATGCCTTTTGTTCTAGAATAAAGTTAAGGTTTGATTTTGAGATCTTAACTAGTTACCATCTTCGAAGTTTATAACAATTCTCTTCAATTCTTAACAAATAGTTCTATGATAAATGTATGACACCACCCTCACCATACATGGGGGAGATAAATCACGTGTCCCTGGGCAGGTGGACATCATTGTCGAATGAGTCGAACCTTGGACCTTCCACTGGATGTCCACCTAATTACCTGCTAGGCTAAAGCTGTATGGATTTCTTAAGAAAAAATTGATACAACAATTCCGTTCAATGGTACCCGTTTTTTTATTTATATACGGAAAGTTGAACTTTTACACGCACTCCTCACCTTTGGGTGAGGCTTGAACCCTTGATGTCCTTGGAGGTTGGTCTCTATCGGTGACCCGGGTGCTGCTAGGCCAATTACCCTTTGGTATCGGTTTATTAGTTTGTGGACCATTTAAAACAAAATATGATGTTGCCTTCTACTTTTCATGAACCGATGCCACTCCAAACCAAACCAGGAATCCAACACAGACCCTAGTAGGGTCCGGGGAGGGTAAAATCTATGGAGACCTTAACTCTATCTGAGGAATAGAGAGGTTGTTTCCGTGAAGACCCAAAGCCAGTAAATGACCATATCTAATAATGAAGTCTTCTGATATGGTTGTTTTGTCGGGATTCTGCAGGCAAGTGAATCTATCAGGAAAGAGTATGACCGAAAGTGTGACCGACTTAGACACCAATTTGCAAAGGATCTCAAAACTCATGTGATTGATAGAACTCGATCTCTGGTGAAAGATCTTCATTCAAGGATCATAGTTGCATTACATACCGTTGATTCCATATCAAAACGGATCGAGAAAATGAGGGACGAGGAATTGCAACCACAACTCTTGGAACTCATTCAAGCGTAAGAATCGTTTTGCTTTACGGAAAGGTTTCTTTGTTACTCCCTCTGTCCCAAAATAAGTGTACTATTTCAAAGCAAGTGCTTATTTTCCAATTCTACCCTTATAATTATGAGATGTATAAATTTATTACTCCTATTAATAAGGGTGAAATTGTCATTTTGTTAATTGAAAAAATGTAATAATTATATATTTATAAACCTGAATGTCTTTTTCATCGTAGACATTTATTTTGAAATTGAAATGACTCTTGAAAAGTGAAACATGAATTGTTTTCGTGCAGATTAAACAAGATGTGGAAGGCAATGCTCGAATGCCATCATGCACAGTATATAACCATCTCGTTAGCTTACCATTTAAAGAAACCAACAAACGGAACTCACCAAGACGAAGCAAAAAATCAGATTATGAACGGGCTTCAACACGAGATTGAATGCTTTGGATTAAGCTTTGCCGACATGGTAAACAGTCATACTTCATATGTTGAATCGATCAACGGTTGGCTCCAAAACTGCATCATCCAACCACCAGAGCGTGTAAAGGGTCGACGGCCATTTTCTCCTCGAAGAGCCGTGGCCCCACCTATTTTCGTCATCTGTCGGGATTGGTCGGCCGGGATCCAGACTTTGCCATCACAACAACTGAGCGATGCCATTAAAGCGTTTTTATCTCATCTCCATCAGCAGCAGTCAGCCGAGGAAGTTGATCAGAAACCGACAATTTCGAACGATGATGATACGAAGACCGATGGCATTGCACCGGTGAACTTAGGATCGATGCATTTGAGTTTGACCAAAGTTCTCGATGGGTTGACCAAGTTTTCTGAGGCTTCCTTGAAGATGTATGAAGATATTAAGCAGAAAAGTGAGACTGCTCAAAATGTGTATTCAAATTACAGGCCACCACCCAGGGCTTATAGTATATGAAATTGTCCAATTTGAAAGCGTTATGGATTTATGAAACCTAACCCAAGTATTCCTTTTGTTTTGTGAAGGAATATGGAACTTAATTAATCAAGTGTTTAGCAATTATTATCAAAGTTCGGTTTTCATTGGTTTGGGTTTGGTTGAGAACGTAATCATGAATCCGTTCCATCCTCTGTCTCTGCTAGAGAAAAAAAAATAACTGGTGAACGATTCTTGGAGCCCAAACGAGCCCAACTGGCTAAGGCTCAGCCAAATGGGCCTGTTAAGTAACCGGGTTAACTACTTTGAAATCCAAATGGGGCCACCATTGGGCTCAGTAACCGGTCCTCCGTAACCAGCCCTTCGTAACCGGCCGAGATTTTTATTGTGCAACGTGTCATAGTGTCGGGCCCAATTGGGGTAATGGAGTTTACCGTGTTTTTGACGTATTTTGTGCCATCTTTTGATTTCTTCTGATGACCATCTATGAAAGTCACTTTTACATTGATCCCTGTAACTTCGGGAACTTTAAGGGACGGTCTTAATGATGCCATTAGGAGGTAAATATCTGAATCGATCAGACATATTTTTTTTTGTTTGATAAGGTTTTAAAAATGGTCTGAATGCTTCAATACTCCTTAATCGCTCCTTCACCAATCCATCTCCATACGATTCAGATACCCTATTTTCCAACGTTTGCCCTTGTATCTTCATTTCTCTCGATTCGGTCATCCCTCTCTCCTCTCTCCTTCCTCTCGATCGATTGTGGAAAACCCACCGGCTCACCACCTGGATACCCACCGCCGCACACCTGCTAGAAACCATCACTCGATTTAACAGGTAGCACTTCTCAACTTTGTAAATTCAATCTGTTGTGATTGTATTGAGTTTTATGTTGTGATCATATTGAGTTTCATTCTCTACTTTGCTCTGTTTTGATTTTTAGTTTTCTTTCATGCATTTGCGTTGTTTTGATTTTTGGTTTTCCTGTATCCCTCGGCATTGCTATTGACAAAGGAATTTTTACAGATATATGGTTATGCAAATACCCATCAGTGATAACAAAATAGGATAATTCAAGTACATATGGAACTTGATAGTGTTAATATTATTTAATTACTTGGCACTCTTCAAAGAAACCATGATTGTTGAGTTAACTATTAGTATTATTGAAACTTGAAAGTGTTTAGCTATATGGCGTTCTTCAAAGGAGTATCTGATTATTGCGTTAATTAGTAAATGTTTGTTCCTTGGTAGACTTTTAACTTTTCTGTCGAATCTTGAAAAGGAATCCATGGTTAGGAGTAATCTCAATAAGTATGTATTAATCATGATATGAGAATGTTTTTTATGTTTATACTGAGTTTTATATAAATAAATATGTTTTTATGAGCACAAGCTATTTGATAACATTCATCAATGAACAACACATATTTACTTTAAAGTAGATCCTATGATGGAAGCTTGATTAATGTTGCTATCTTTGTTGTTGTATATTTCTTTTGTATGATTCTCTTCGCTTCTTGTTAGACAAGACAACGGGCGGGGATGGGGCGGGTTTTGTAATCCTGACCCCGGCCCCGGTTTTACTTAACAACCCCTGGCCTGGTCCTCGGGGGGTACGGAAATTAACATCCCGTCCCCGGTCAAACCGCGGTCAAACCCCGATTTATTAGCAGAAATCCATCAATTTCAAATGCATTTCAGGTGATATGAGGAGAATTCAACCTTCTTACTTTATTAGCAGCAATGGAAGCAGAAACAAAATTAGGGATTTGGTGATGAACAGGTCGTGGAAACTGAGCAATGTTTCGAGCCTCCATCAAATCCCAAATCCTCTTTCGGATGATCTTTTTTCAGGCTTTTGGATCGTTATCGTTTCTATCTAACTCATCCGCCATGGATTCTCTTTCTTTAGCATCGAGACCAAGCCTCTCGGCCTTATAAGCCGATTCGTCAAAACCAACTTCGTTTCTGTTGCTCTCCACTTTGAACGGATTGTAACGGAAGTGTCTAATGGAAAAGGAATTAGATATGTGGGTGTAATTGACGATGGAGGGAAGATGATTGAGATACAAAATTCTAAATAATGCAGAGGAGGCATCCATGGTTGAAGGTATCGTTATTCATGGAGGTTGTTGGTGTACATGATAAGAAGTGAACGATCATATTGCAATACCCCTGTACGGGCGCGCGGTGGGGGTACAATACCCGGCCCCGGCCCCAACCCTGATTTGAGTCTACCGAGGATCCCGGCCCCACTCCCAGAACCCGTTTTAGCGAGGAATCTCCGTCCCCTTTCGGGTGGGAGAACCCGGCTTGGGACAAATCACCATCCCTACTTCTTGTTGCTACATTAGCTCCCTTCACTTCTTTGCAATGTATTTTAACTAGTTACAACATTCAAACTTTGCTTAAGATCCCATTTGCAACGTATTTTAACTAGTTATTAATAAACAAAACAAATAAAATTCACCAGATAAATCCCATTCGGAAGTTGGGTGATGAGATATATCCAAACTTAACCACTATCACCAACATAGAGCGACTTCATAAAAATCCTGGACTTGTGTAAACATGGGAGCAAATAGGTAATTAATATCGTACCAAATCAAACCAACTTTGTATTCGTTCTTGTTTTATTCTGGTATTTATCGAACAACTACAGTTCATTGGGAACTAAATCACACAGAGGGTTAAAATGATAATTTGTTGTCTATAGACTGTTCATTTAGAAGAGTTACCAAACAACCATATTTAATTCTACACTATATCATACTGAGCTTTTTAATCATTTTGCATCAAATTATTTTGCAACTACCAAACAATTCCTAAGGGGCTGTTTGGTTCATGGATTTGGATGGAATTGAAAGGAATTGGAATGGCCAAATCCTTTGACCAAATTCCAAATACAATGTTTGGTTCATGGAACAAAAATGATGGAATTCTTTCAATTCCAATAAATTCTTTCACTCGCGGATTTTACATTCCACAACAATACCCTCAAATTTCAATTCCTATCCGACAAATTCCTTCCCTAACTCAAATTCATTCCAAATCCATGCAACCAAACGCAATCACAAGGCATGGTCAAATTCCATCAAATTCCATTCCATTCCTTCAAAGTCAAATTCATTTGATGAATTCCAATTCCATCGAATTCCATTCTACGAACCAAACGCCTCCTAAGAGTCATCAACATTCATACCATGGGCTATTTTGTTAAATAACCTATAAGTCCCAAATATGATCAATCTTCATGTAAAGCTTCAAATCAACAATGGCAAACTTCATAATATATTCAAGATCATGAAGAACAAGTAGAGAGAGAAAGTCAACTCTTCAAGAATGGTCAAACTGATATTACGTATATGAATATTACAATAAGGCTCATTCTCAAAATTACAAAGGAAACACCCTTTATATAGGGTCAAACAAGACACAAGATAGTCAAAGTCAAACTATCTAAGAAAAGTCAAAAACGATGACTTTAACATAATTATAGACAAAATTAACTTTCAAGATGATACAATTTAATACTGAATTTCAGTCCTAACATTCTCCCCCTTTGTATTCAGACTTGAAAGAAATTGCGCGCTTTGAGTCTCGTTTGAACTTTGTAGCTTTAAGCACACTATGTCTTCTTAAAAAAAATAATCTTCAACTTAAAACTTCAGACAATCATTTGTTTGAGAAAAATCTTCTAACATTCACCCCTCGAATGTAGAACCGCGATGATCTTCTCTATTGACAATATAGATCATAAACAATAACGATCTTCAGAATTGATCTTCAGCAAACTGTTGTAAAATAGATCTTCACATTCAACAACTCTCAGACATTGTAGCATCAGAATAATCTTTTGTAATCATCTCTAGTCGCACTCTTTTTGACTCTTTTGCCAATTTTGATGTACTCCCCCTTGATCTTTACAACAAATTCCCCGAATTGGACATTACATTCATTATTACATACTCCCCCTTATGATGAAATGAGAATCATGATATCATACACAAGAATGAATGAAATTTCCCACGAAAGCCGTCAATTCATGAAATTGTAAGTAGATCTTTTCATATCCACTTGTTCAATCTTTTCAGATTAAGGGAATGAGAAGATAACAACCAATTTCAACGTATGAAATTGTTTTCAATCTTATAAAATTTTTGGCCTGTGAGTATAACAGATATACTCAGTACAACGGATGTACTGTATATATGAGATAAATGAGTAGCTGGTGGGGTTGTGACAAGAATTGGTCTGGGCTTTGTCTGTTTCAATATTAATCTCGAAATAATTGAGAACTAATAGATTGTGTGGTATGCCCGGATTTTAGAAGTTTGGAACAGGATCTTGTTTATTCTTTTGATCCTGACACAACTCTCGTTAATTCTTTTGGCTCACAACAACTACCCCTCTCTTTTTCATTTTATCTCAGCACACAAACCCTTTTGTATATAAAGCTCACTCAGATATGGTTGTCCTCATGGGTAGGTTTGTCAGTTCTGACATTCCATTGAGGTATTTCTGATAAGCACTAAGTCCCTCCTAAAATTTAGCATTATGCACAGTTGATCACAAATAGTTGATCAAAAATATTATTGCAGATAAGCACAATGATCAGATAAAAATTGATCAAGAAATTTGGCTTTTAAGCACCATCAATGAAAGAATGATGCGATAACGATAAGATTATTTGGTATGCGAGAGAAATGAATGAAGATCTGTAAGTACAAGTTTACAGATTCTGATTAAAAAAATGAAATGTATATCATTCAAGGTAAAAAAATAGAAAAACAACCTTTGATTACAAACGAGTGTATTATCACCGAAAATGATTTATATAAGAGACGTGATAATAACAGTTTGAAGAATAGCTAAAACAGGTATTGGAGTTATGTACGATGAGAAATTACGCAAGTAAAATCTCAGGAAATACCTGTTCAGAAAATGTACTCGTTTAAAAAAAATTACTTTCCGAAAACATTTATTTAAAACTTCTAGAGACTCCCCCTAGAAAGTAGATTATAGTAATGTTTCAGTTAAGCTCAAAAATTAAAAA